ACTTTAACAGGCATGATTTTTTGTTCTATTTAAACACAATTTATGACTGATACTGATAACAGTCATTTTTCATTTTTATTGTCTTCGTTTTTCTTACTTCTTATCTCTTAGTATGTTCTGTTCCTTCAACAATCAAATTAATGTATTATGTAAAAATATTTATCTGTTTCTTTTCTTTTTTAATGTATCCTCTCTTCTGTTCATAAACCTACAGTATGATAATGAATAAAAGTAAAAAAAGACAAACATATGCCGTATCGTCATTGGATAAATATTTTTAAAGAAATCTTTACTTTTTCTACTTATAAATTAAAAAGTTCTTGTGATTGAATCTTAGTCGTTCTTCCACTATCTTCCAAACTATTTTTATGACAGATGACCCTCATAGCAATAAACACTGCAAACTCATATCTATCAGAAATATTGAATTTCATCCAAGAGAAATTCCGATAAGTTATGAGGAGAAAACTTCGAATTAACAGAAAATTTATTTAGTGGAAATACATTGTACGATAATGTGCATCGTTAGTTAAAGATATCATACCATGTATTTGCTTGGTAAAAACCTGATGCATTGAAGCAAATTAACAAAAGAATATATCTGAGTGCCTGTCTTAGACTCATCTTCGAATTATTTCATTCTGTAGACGTCTACACTTTGATCATAATAGTGATCATATGGATGGTTCAAATTAATATTTTAGAAGGTTAGCAAAAGTCGTTCTTGTTTTGTAAAAAGTCTTTTCTGTTCATTTATTCATATTAATTATTTAATCATATTCACATCATTCTATCGCACGTTTGTCAGTAATTTCTATGCTGAAAATTCTAACGATTTCGGAAAAGATACATGATGGTCAATCTTACAAAAGTCGAAATATAATTGGTACATTCAAGTAGTCCATTACGATCTAACAAAAGATTCAATAAAAATTAATAGAAGAGGATCATTTATTTGTCAACTATACTTTGACATCTGTAAGATTGACTACGATATATCTTTCCCGAAATCTTTACAAATGTGAAATAGAATGATAAAAATACGATAGAAAAAGACTTTTGTGGTAACAAAAAGTACGTTTTTATACCAATAGAACATATTGTATGAAACACGTTCTTGAACTATTTGTTTGCGTTTTTAAGTAAAAAAAAGACGTATTCCACTCTAATCGAATAAATGAAGACAAAATCTAGAAAAAAAAAATATGCGAGTAGACAAAAAGCCTGTTCAACTGTAGATTTTTCCAATTTTTTTTTCATGTTATACATCCAATATTGAATTCAATTTCTAGTTGATGTAAATTAGACTTCACCATGATGAATTATTTCTGTAAACTCACTGAATCTTTATCCTATTCGTCGTCATGAACAGTACATGAAATGATATGATATTCATGGCGAAGATGTGTACACTAGCTAGGTAACAGTGCCAATACTATCAATATCGCATTGGTATTGCTACATTCCTAATCATAGATCGAAACTGAGTCGAGTTTCGCTCGAGAAGCTCGATTTTTTTACCATTTCTCGGTATTGATCGTTGCTATGATTTAGTGAAACAGTACGGTACAATATTAATTCACACTAGTGAATTAGTCGAACAAAGTAATACGATGAAAAAATGGTCATGAACTGATGACGATGAATAGGTGTTACTCAGAGACGCTCAAATCTCTATCCTTCAACGGTCAACAATTTGATTTTTTTTGTATTCTATTGAGTTCGCCAAGCGACAAATCTAGTTTCAAGCTTTTTTTTTCTTGTCTCATTCTTGTGTACTTTGTTATTTTTTGAACTTATTGTTGTTGAATAAAATATGGTTGGAATATTCGTTGTTTGAGTCGAGTCAAGCGGAATATTTTTTGACTTGTTTTGATCTTTGATGTCTCATACCAATAGATGATCAGATATTAGTTGGCTTCCCAAAGGAAAATGCAATTGTTATCCAAGTTCTGAATAAACTATGTGATTCAATCTATTCTTGAAAATTCTCAATGAAAAAGCAAATGAATCTAGGTATGCATGGAGTTGATTGATCTATTTTGCTAAATTCTGTTGCAGATATTTGAACCACCAGTGATTATCGTATAGCGTTCGCGATAACTGATCTAACTGAAAACAAAATGACATAGATGGACATGTTTTTCAAATAACTTCTTCGTTTTTAAAAAGATTCGACTAATCGAAGCTGAAAATCATAATTAAGTGGTGCCGAGAAATACAAATATTAGTCACTTGTAAACACTCGACAATTCTTTTACATCTCACTAACTGGTTTGTGGAAAACTATCTAGGTTTAAGTCTGGATAACTGGTATAGCCATTTCTGATCGAATAGAATAAACCCGTTAAGCAAAGCTCGTTAACACGGATGTTTCGATCAGTTAGACTTTATTCGTTATTTTCTCGTGTGAATATTGGGTAAATATTAGTGGGATCACTTTATTCTAATTATCTTCCTAACCTTTGAATAAGTAAATAGGCAAGACATAGACATTTGTTCTTTACGTTACTTTGAAGTCGTTCAAATAGTTCGATGACGATGAAGAAAAAGCATTATGAAGAAAATCTCGAGACTGTAACATCGTATTAGAAGAAAACTATACACTGCAGTCAATGGAAAATATCGGCAAACGAGGGTGTGGACCCACACCCACACCCTTTATCGTTGTAAACTGTACTAACATTCTTGCACAGGAAAACAATTTGAAGATGATGTCGTAATGGATTCGATAACCCTATATCCATTACATTTCTTAGATACCATTGCATCATGACGACACACACCGTAACTACTTGTTCGTCACTCGTAATGATATCAACAATCAATAAGTAACAACAACCAATTAGAATTTTCGGGATGTCATCAATATTGTTCAAATGAACGTGCCAATTTCACTAACACTTGCATATTCACCGTTCGTTCAAACATTATGTAGTTTTCTTTCTCGATCAAATTCTATCTCGATTCGAGACAAATCATTCATCGGCGAATTTTTCCTTCTTTTAATTTAATAGAGCCAGTATCGATCCTCGTTCATACTCATCAATGTGGAACGACATCGAATTCATTCATTGAGAATATAAATAGTCTGACTCAAGTCAGAGTGTAACGTTGAATGAAGAGACAAATTGAAATGAATCAAAAAAACATACTATTCAATATCTTGTTGAGTTTCAATATATCATATAATACGGTAGCGATCGATCGTGATTCAATAGCAATACCGACACATGTTCGATGCTGCAAATAAATTTGTATAGGCTTGGTGCTTGGGCAAAATGCTTCTAGAGTAGACACCGATTGAATTTTGTTGATCGCTACAGATCGTATGTGCTTCAATTTGATCGATGAAAAATGCTCTAAGATATCTGAAAGGAATTCAATAGATTTATTTTTCTTTTTCCTTCAAAATACATGAGTCACAATCAGTTCGATGCATGAGTGAATGAGGCAACGTTCAATTGCGCCATTGCCGTATTACGATCGGTAAATCGAATGTATATTTAAACCTATCAAAAGCTCTTCAATAAGAGTAAATATATCGAACTATTGAAATAAAGTCTTTCAGTGTCCTTGACTGTTCAATAGCAGTAGACAAATGATGCATATACTTCATTCTTTACTCAATGAAGACAAAGCAATGCATTACCGGAACTCAAGAAGAGTAGCGAGGTTGCCTCCATTTTTTCTTTCCTGCCTCTTTGGTTACTTCTTCGAAGTGGAGTTGTGTAATGAGAAAAAGAGTAACAATTGCTTTTACTTTTCTCGACCATAGCAAGAATGCAACACACAGGTAAGAAAAGAAAAATTTAATGAAATACGCTTCTCATCTCAGTCAGTATGGTAGAAAGAATTATTTTTTTTCTTCGCAATCTCTTCAGCACCATGCAGAGATAAATGCCTTAAGAAAAAAGCAAATATCCTTCCTAGTTTAACTCAATGACAACTAGTTTTTAACAAGTTATGCAAAAAGTATCTACTAAGAATAAAAAAGGATGTTTGAAAACGTTTCCACATATTTCATTACAAAGCTGCTTCGGTGAAATTCCGTACAATTGTAGAGCAGTGAGTGACAAAATGATCCCAAACATGAAATCAAACTACGGAAATGAAAACACATAAGCTAAATAAACGTCCATTTTGTACATATTTGTTTCCAATTATCATTTGAAAAGGTTAAGTTTAATTTTTTGTTTACATGCACACATAATTACTCATTGTACATTATTCTAAAACTTTTTCATAAAGAAAAAAAACTGTGCGACTGTTGAAGTTTCAAACAACCGAATAGATTGTGTCAAGTTCTGATTTCGTGAATAATTTACTTTAAAATTCACATATTTTGAACAGCGACGCACTACTTCATTTTTATTTGCGTCTCTTTCTCGCTCCTTTTTGTTAAAGTATTTCTTTTTCTTTTTCTTTTCCTTTCTCAATTAATAGTGTATTCGTTTTAAAGGAGAAAGAACAACTCTTTTTTCTTCGCAAAATGAAGAATGGAAATGAAGAGACACGTGACATAACGAAAGAAATGGAATAAAATCAAAAATCATAAGCAAAGAACAAAAAACAAGAAAAAAGTAATATGCATCACGCAATAAAAGCGTAACTATATTCACAATTGAAAATAAATCAGATAAATATTTCGTACTCATAATATTCACGTTTTACTCTATAAGATAGAATGCATGTTGTTCAGTTTTAAAATTGTATTTGGTTAGTTAGATAATCACAAAAAAAATGTATAGTGAAACATTTCTTAATAAGACAGACTATTATTGCATTTTTTTTTAAGATGTCAAATTTTATATTTGCACAGTTGATATAAATAAATGGAGACAGATTTTTCTATTGCATGAAACCTGGTACGCTCTGTTTGTTTTTTACAGTAGAATCACTTTTAGAATATGATTGAAGCAATCATAAAGAAGCGATTGTTGCACAGAAACCAAATATTATCTTATTATTTTTTTTTCACAGTACTTCAAAAGACATCGATGGGTCTTCATGGTCTTCATCTTGTTCATTCAAATGCATGGGAAAGACATCATGAACTTCCTATAAATGGCGTTCGTTCCGAACGTCAAATGAATCGGCTTGTATCTAAATTAGCTAAGTCAATGCAGTCAGCTGATCGTATTCAACATCTCGTTTACGAGATAAAAAGATCTCCACAAGCATTCAGTGGTGATCAAGTTATAGCATTGGCACCTTATTTTCCTGGAGCCCAACTCGTGCTTATTCTACACCTACTTGACAATCATCTGTTTGGATTAAAATGCAATCAAGCAGCACAATTGCTGCAAATGATTCCGGTTCCAGAAGAACGTCTCGAAGCTCTACAGGTGATAGACGAGAATCTACTTGATCCAGTAAATCGTTTTCAATTGAGACACTTATTTCCTCCTAATCTATTACCACAAGTTAATCAGGTTTTGGCTGAAGCTCGTGGTCAGTCACATATTTATGGATCGATTACTAGTTCTCGAGTCATTTTCCTCATTGATACAAGCAGTTCAATGAACACCGAATTTGAAACGCGCTGTGGCCAACATTTCAATCGACTTCAATATATTGTTCACGATCTTCATAAGCTTCTTCATCATCGTGTACAACCACAGTTCAAATTTAATATTATTCATTTTGACACTCATGTCCATCGATGGAAGGATTCTTTAACTCTGGCAACACCACATCATCTAAAACAAGCTGAACATTATCTCGATCATTTAGAAGCTAAGGGAGAAACAAATACATACGATGCATTGAAAGTGGCACTTAGTGATAAAGAAGTAGATACAATCTATTTACTCTCGGGTGGCGAACCACCCATAGATATGAATATAGTTTTATCCGATTTGAAAATATGGTTAGAACAACGACAAAATCCATGTGTAATACATACAATTGCTTTTCTGATGGGACATACATCAGATGATCCGAAACCAAGAAAATTCATGGCCAAGATTGCAGCAATGACAGGTGGAGTGTTCAGATGTATGGATCCGTGTACTCCATTACATCAAGAATTTGGTGATGATTCGTATAGTGACGATTCTGACTTTAACGATGATGAATTCTTAGATTTTTTTCAAGAAAGACTCAGAGATGTTCCTACACAATTATTAGAAAATGCTGGCCTTCCAACGAAACAACAGAATACATCGTCGCCAACAGCTTCAACAAATACTTCTTGCTAAACAGCAATCGCCATATATTGCTCAGCAAAATTCGCCTTCTCTAAAATGCTATTATCAACCTTATCAACCAAAAATAGCTTCATATCAAAGACAAACTTTTTAAATCTATCATTTCTTTATTTCAAATTTCAGTTCACATCTCGTTCTCGTATACAAGATAATACTGCTATTTCACCTTCTGATCATGATTGCTTTCATATTTATGTAAATATCTAGCAATGCGACTATAGTCGAGATGGTTCATAATTAATGACACGTTATTACTTTAAATAAATTTATCGCTAGCAATGGAAAAGGTCGACAAATATAGACGTAACATTTTTTCTCCTCTACACTAGACAGATTTTGTTTTTGGTTTTCTTTGACGTGCCATTTCTATTCACAACTTTTCATTGGATATATTCTTGGTTGTGACGTTTTGCTAGAACCAGTGATGATTTCAATTAACCGTTCTTCAGATTGCTAATTTTTACATTTCACACATTTTAATTAGATGCATAGTCAACGTAATTTAATAACAGATAATATTTTAAACGGCGCAAAATCTAGATGTCAGTTTTCGATTCAGAGATTGATGCAGAAACTGTGTATAAAGATAATTTGTCTTCGAGCCATTCACTAATAAACTTCATAAACCGAACTATGTACAAACAATGTATTGAACTCACTCTCATGCAATCAGATTAACAGTTGCCTTGATCATTCAATTGATAGGAGCCTACACCGAATAGCCAAAGAGTATGGTTGGTCAACAATGTGTACGGCTCTCACTTTTAGCTAATGGTTGTTCTTTAATACACACTTCGCTTAGCCAATATGTTAAAGATCATTGAGTTGCAACCATCTGGGCTAGTATGATTACACATAGAATGAATAATAGCATTATGAGCTAAAATGAGCTTGGATTTCACGTGTACAAAGTCAAAAACTTCACAAGATTATCATCACTTGTTTGTACAGTGTCAATTAGATTAGTTTTAGATGTTATAGCCTTTTTTGAAGTTTTTCATCGATTGTTCATGAGATATTACATATACATATATTATTTTTCAGTCGAAATTTGTCATAAATATTTTTAATTTCGCTTTATTACATCTGTTGATAGAAACGTCACATGTGCAATAATCATACGAATTTTTCAAGAAGCGAATAGCAGAATCATGGAACTCAGGATTCTCAGTGAACTCCTACGGACTCATTAAGGGACGCCATCTGAGTCACAGCTTTCCATGGTGATATTTCTTTGTCCTATTCTGTTGCGGATGTGTGCATGAGTATGTATTCAGGTGGAGGCATGTCTGCATCTTTAGTGTTGAAAATTTCCGACAGCTTATTGATATTTTAGAGTAATTCAAACTTGGTAATGAGGAAAATGAACATGAGTTGAGAGGCTGATTTATCATTCTATTCTATTTGTTTCATCATGTCATTCGTCTTTTCATTACTTGAAGAAAATGCATGCTTCAATCAGAATACAAAGTCATCTTAGAAATGATGAAGCATATGTGTGAGTCATGACTATTTCGACCAATATCGATCAGAATCAAATGTAATTCCAATGAGAAGCCATTTATTGCAAATTCTACTGCAATTCTTGATTCGAACAGCATGTATCTAGGAATGTCATTAAGAACTAATGGACTGTTTTCATCGATTGACATCTCAAACGTGATTGACATTTAGATACTCAGTCAACTTAGTCAACTTGCACAAAAGGCTGCCTCATTCACGATATGACATTGTTTCTAACGTCTTTTTGAGACTTATTGATTTCAATATATCATGAGAACATAGCAATGAAGTTATTTTTTGATCGAAACTGATGAAGCTTGTGATCAAAGTGATCGAAATAAGTTCATATATCCTAAACGTATTTCAGGCTGTGTCAATCGTTATGATTATTTGTTGATATCTAATGTTTGGCATGCAATGGAGCCAAAATGTTTACACTGATAGAAAGTAGACAACTATTTCAATAGAAACAATGTTCATGCTTAATATCTATTCGATATTGTTTGCGAGCATTGCTAATCGTAACCCCTCCAAAAAGACAATGTTGTTAAACTTTATTCTTTTTTATCATCAATCTCTATACAATGAGCATTTTTTATTCTCCCCAACATGATGATGCATACCTTGTAGTCTTTGACAGAGATTCTTGAACATTTTAGTGCTTTTATGGGAGATTTTATGTCAACCTATTTATCTGTTGCATATGATGATAATTTGTTTAAATTATCCATGGTCTACGGATGTCACTGTGTGTTTTTCTTCACGATATATCGATGGATAAATTAAATTATGGTAGACCTGATGAATACTTTATTTTACATCTTCTCATCGATTAGAAATCTAAAAAAAAAAACACATTTTAGTGCCTTAAATGAAAACTTAAGACAGAAAAGTGATAAAAGCTAATTAGTTTTTCTACAGTATTTACTTGCTTATTCATCGACTATGCGATGCTTTATTTAATAGTTATTTTTGTCAGTATCTTGTATAAGAGAAACAAATGGAATTTTTGTTTTTTATGGATGCACAAAGCAAAATCGCAGAAACATGTTAACAACGTTTCATTTATGGCTATATCGACATAAAAATATTCTAGCGTTTTGGCAGTCTATGCGATTTTCGAAAAAACTGCCGAGAAAAATATCTTTTGTATGTACGTATGGGTGCCATAACTATTACAGAACTAACATTGAAATTTGATAAACCAAATGATCAGCAATATTAATGTCTAAGCATCTACGAACAACACAAAAATGACGTGGTTATAAAAAACGAGTTTAGTAGCACTTTTTTCTTCAGAAAAATAAAATCCGATTTTTTTGAGTTTTTCATGTTTACCGTCTGGTCAGCTATTGATCAGACTTTACTTTCTATTTACACTCTTCACTTTTTCCCATTTATTGCTCCTATTATTTAATGCTTTCGTCCAAGCAAAAACATCTTTTCAAACTGCTCAACTCTGCGTGATATAAGTAGGTCTCTCTCAATAAGTCTTTCAAAGAAAAATAATGTTTACTCTATTCTTATTTAATATTTTGTTTCGGGCTGTGTGCACATAGTAAACTAACTGAAGCATTTAAATATATTGTTATTCAACAAATACTGTTTTCATTTTTCGAATGCATCTAGTCGACCGTTAAGATGGAAGTAAAATGTTTTTTTTTGAAGGAACTGACGTCACATACTGAGTCTCTGTAAAACATTTGTTGCTGGAATCTATGAATCGATGTAAATAAACACCATTGAGACTGCTTCTGGCGTCTTTTTTGACTCATGTAAGTAAATATGTTGAAATCAACTCCTTTGTATATAAAAGCAGCAACTGTTTTAATTAAATAACATTATTCTCATCACGACGATGCAACGGTTTCTGATTCAAGTTGTCGTAGCAGTGTAAGTAATTCTATTATGATAAATTAATAATGTAATACATAGTATTTTTTTAGATATGTTGTCTGCAGTGTTACAGGTAGGAAAAATTTGTTTTATTCAGCCATCTAGACGAACGTTTTTTTCTGGTGGTTTCTTTAAAGCTTTATCTCCAATAGAATTTTATAATTTGATTGATAATATTTTTTGTGAACTATATTATAGGCCAAGACATCATCAATTCACAATTTGGTTCATGCGGATGCTGTCCATCACCATATTGTCAAGCAAAATCAACGCCATGTTCAACAAATTCTGACTGCGAATGCTTGATGATGGCAATGACCGGTGCAGGAATGTGTACGGATACAGTTATGTCATGTAGAGATTTGGTTCCATGTGAAAATGATAATAAGACATGTTCACCACTCAATACTATATGTGTGAACAACACTCGTTGTGGCATTCCTGTGTGTTATCCAATTAATCGTGCCTCTTCTCAGCGATGCCCACCGTTGCCTTCAAGAACTTCAATCACAACGACACGTAAGAGAGTTATCGAGTTTGTCAAAAAAATAGACTTGAGAATAATACAATTAGAATCAAGCCTATCTGATCCCCACACGCCAGTCATGTTGCCTTCGTTGCACTGAATGGTCAGTAAAGCTTCTAGACAAGTGTTGAACAATTGTAGTTCGACTCTTACTGAATTCTCACAGTTGAAAATATTGAAGATTGCTATAATTTCGATGAGAAGGAAATACTGGTATTTTGGACAGCTTTTAAATTATAGTTTTTTCACACTGTAAATGGATCTACCTTTGATTGTGTTTGTTTTTATTTGGTAGATGAACTAAAAATCAATACTAGTGCCGGCAAAAAAAAATACAAGAGGTATCTTTTGTGACATTATATGTCATTTAAAAACTAGCCATCTACCTTGTTTTTCAATTGGATTACACTTCTTAGTGTTAGTCATGTATAAGAATGGACAGAAGCCCACACATGTGGTTAAGACTTTCGTTTGACCTAATGCCGATGCACAGCTCATGTTGTACTTATTTTTACTCAAGAGATAATTACTTGATGTGTAATGCTTGATTTGATGCGCGGCTATCTACACTCGACAGCTCTTTATAAACCATTACTTATCGAAAAGAGCAGCTGTCCAAATCTCGTTCTTTGGACACATATGCAATTTTTAGTAATATTTTCGATGGAAGATCATTGTTTCTTTAAGTTATTTTGCACATAGAGTTTGGATAACATTTCCTTATTTATTAAAGAATAGTCGATATGTATTTATCTATCAACTAGAAAACGGTAACTAGACATAGTACTCAGTAAATAAGCCAAACTTTCATTTATTTAAATTTATTCACCTAAGATCAACATAAATAAATTGCGTTCGATTTTATTTTTACCGTCTTCTTAGTCAAATAAAGTAAAGTAAAATCAATATTTACTTCTATACTCCTTAACTAATAGTATATGTAAATATTGACTACTTACAAGTGAATAAGTAAAAGTGGTACTCGCCTTTACTAGTAAATAAATAGGTATTGTATTTATTATTTGTCAATCAATAAGGAATTGTTTTATTTATTTTACCAGGTTTATCTAAGCATTGAGTAAGTTACACAAGAAAATATTTCATAAAACAGATTTCTCACTATATCTGTACTGAGTCACAACTGTCGAAAGACTTGGACTGTTCGTCAACGTTGAAAATATTGTTTCGAAACTAATAGTCAAGATTTATCATTGACTTACTTTTGTCAAATATAGTTCTGTTTTATTTATAGTTAGTTGTTTAAATTTGCTAAGAACACTCAATATGTGACTATGTGTTCTGTACATTCACATACGCAAAAGACGATGGTCGAATGTCATTCAGACGGACTATATTGTCGGTATAGGCAATATAATAGTTAATCCTTATAGTTTTTCTTTTTTGGCATAACAACAATGTCAATTATTATCATTTTAGTAAAGTTTAATTAGACAGTCTAGTAAAGCGAGAAATTCATTGCTTGACATTTGTCACTGTATATTGTTATCGAGCACACATATAGCATCCTTTTGTGAAACACGATTGTAAATAAGTGCTGAAGTATATTTCAGGAAAATTAAACCTTCATCTCGTCACAGATCGTGACAGATATCGCGATGTATTTGTCTTTTGACACTATCGCCGATCATGATCAATGTGAAGAATGTCTTCGTCTATAAATAAATCACCTTCATCGTCCTTGACATTTTGGTTATGTAAGAGTTTTTCTGAATGAGTTCTTGAAATATGAGAGAGCCGTTATCGATAATAGAGATTGTTTTGGCGAATATCCCCTAAAGAAAAACATTATGAAGCATAGTTATGCGATTGAAACTAAAAGATTTCCTATATAAAGATGATGTATCTCTAATCTTTTAAAACTTTCTATTTCAGCATCAACAATTACAACAGCAATCAATGCTTGTTTGAATAATAGCCTCTGTCAAAATAACGTAAGTCACGATTTTTAGAGTTTCATGTAATGTTTCATTAGTAAAGCGACGTGTCAAGTACTGCCAAGGTTGAGCAAGTCTAGAGGAAGTTCATGATTTTCATCTTGCTTCTAAAAATAGTAACAATTTTTCAAATATTGTGATACGAAGATGCACACAAAACAAATGACATATATATATATGAAAGACTGATTAGTCAGAAGTAATGTTAAGATGCTATTAGTACGTCATTCACATATCGGTTACTGAAAAAAAATCTATGCGGCAATCATCAAATCAGTTATTGAGGGTGTGAGTGCGACTGAATGGTTGTTGCTTGCACACAGTCACACATCTTGCATTCCCACACACGTTCTTAATCTCATCTACACTCCTTTCTCCTTTGTCATTCTCATGTAATCAATTGTTTATAATATCGTATAGAGAACTGAACAGTAAATTATTGAATAAAAATGAGTTTAGTTGTACTTGAAGAGAGAGAAGATAACCAAGAATAATGTCAATAATAGGCTCTTCGTTTTTTGTCTTATACATCACAAAAAATATATATTTCTTCATGTTAATGACAACTAACTTGAAGTCTTGCCATAAACAGATCTTTAAAAATTCGTGCTTAACGAGAAAGCAGAGGTTTCAATGTTCGTTTTATTGATACAAGGCACTCAGTCATAATGCACGAAATACTTTTTTTTTGAATATCACATAGAGTAAATTTTGAAAATAAGTTTTTCTTGATTAATAGCAAGTTTTTTCCACAAATATAGTTGTTGGTACTTGAGGATAGTTCGAATCAAGTCTTGTTTCGAATAGAAGAAATTTAAAAAGTTAAAATTCAGCATAGTTTTATTAGCTTTACTATATTGACGAAGTAACTGCTAAATATGTACTATAGGGCACATGTCAACCAATGGGAAATAGTTTCTTTTGTCTGTGTCCATCAACACATTTCGGTCCATCATGTGAATATCGTGGTAGCGGAACCGATTTAACTGTGCTCGAAGGAATTATTAATGGTTCACTAACCAATTATGATAGAACCGTTGAAAATGTACTCAATCGCTCTAATTGGACCAATATGGTTGCCGTTGTCGATGTTACCGGTTCAATGCAACCATGTGCAGCAGCCGTTTATAAATGGTTAAAATTATCTTATGATAAATTAAATTTGATCAAATACTATGTCTTCTTTAACGATGGTGATAATAAAGCTGATTCACTCAAAGTAATTGGATCTACCGGGGGTATCTATGGCGTACCGACTTCTAATTTGAATACAACGCTAGCCGTAATGCAAGCAGCTATGAAAAATGGTAATGGTGGTGATGGGCCTGAAAATGATGTCGAAGCAATTTTATATGGTATCAAACAATGTCCAACATGTACGAATTTGATTCATATTGCTGACAATCAAGTGACGCCACGTGACATGATTTTACTTGCGAATGTGACCTTGCCAGTGAAAGTCATCACTTGTCAATTGAGCTCGTATCCTGTCAATCCTGATTTAATCACTATTGCTAGTCGTACAGGAGGTTCACTACACACCCTCGAACAAGACATCATAAACTTATCTGGTATTCCAGTGAACGGTACTATTGTCATCGGAAGAAATACGTATCGTCGTACAATAAACGGTTACATACAAATTGCTTGAAAAAAAAACTCTTGAGAACTTCAGACTTTCATTAATGTTTTCGCTTTTAATTTTGGAAAGCTAAATTTTTTCACTTATGCTTGTGTGTGTGCACTCTCCAATTCTTTTTTTTTGTCTCTTTCGAAATTAAATTTATGGGAATATCGTACTCATAATGTAGCTAGAACTGAAAGAATAAAAGAATCTATAAGCCATGAAAAATATATATATATCTAAACAATTGATGTTGCGAACAAGACTTTCATCACATGAATCTAATCACTTACTTTTTGTCGTGTAGCTCTTTCTTAGTTAAACAAAGACAGTGCGATATAAATGAGCACATCATGCTCTGGTTGATTAAAAGCAACTTCACTTTCTTGATCGTGTTTGATTTTTAGTCTTGACATTTCGATACCAACAATGTATGTTTCACACAGCCAACAACAACGAAATAATTTAGTCGCACATGTACAGAAGCAGTTTTTAAAATGCTTTTTCATTCTGTTTTCTACTCTGCAATAGTGACATAGCACAAGACGACAAGCTAGTTAATCACTTCTTCAGTATCGCCACCTAATCGTATCATCATCAAAAACTGAAAAAAATCCAAAGATTGCTTCCAAAGAATGTATACATGCATACTAGAGATCTGCGTGGCCAGGTTTTTTAGTCACGGTCACGGCAACGGAAATGAAAATTTTTCCAAAGTTGCTACAATGACGGTCACGATCATATCCATGAGGTATTTATGGATTTTGTAACAGTTACAGTCATAGACACTAAAAGATCTTAGTAAATAACGACTCAGGTGGAAAATTGCGGACAGATTCTCGCAGGAAAACACCGGAAATCGTTGAAGCATAGAGCAATATTTGGACCGGAAATTTTTTGGACTTTTCCGAAAGATTCTGATCTGCTTCCCTGCACTTTCCAGAAACAACGGACAGGAAACCATCGGAAAACTTCGGACCGAAAGACTGCTTCCAAGGTTTCTACAAGTTCCCAGGTTTTCGGCAGGATACAGTGACTTTTCCACATTTCGTGTCGATTTCTGCGGCATCTGTTCTTCGGAATGATTGACTTTGGAAGTCTACTGATGGTTATCGCAATTACGGAGTTTTGATCAAACTAGATTGGCTTATAAAAATCGATTTAAATCCTATGATATTTGTTTTTGATGCATATAAAGAGCTGCATGGCCAAGTTTATTTAGTCATGGTCACGTCACGGTCACGATCACGCGTGACCGTATCTGTGACCGTGGTCATTTTGCAAGTCTCTAATGACGAAGCGCTCTGAGTTAATCTTGTGAATTAATTTCGGGCAGATATAATTCAAGCAAGAACGAAATTCTCATGTCGGAGTTCTTTTCTTTTCTTACGATAATGTCAAAGTCAGACAAATATGAGGCTCGATAACGTCCTTCTTTCGCAACATTTTCCTTTCTTTTCTTTTCTTGAAAGAAGGTACTTACGTGAAACAGCAACACTGACTCATTATTCTTATGCAATAACTTGAGTATATAATCGAATGAGAAATACACGATGCGACATTTTTTTACTACTTTTCAGAAAATATGTGTGCTTCTTCCAATAGTGTATATTCTCCAGCAACGGATCAACAGAGAGCTAAAGCTCTTGGTGACACTTACCAAGTAAGTATCTGATAGAAATTATATTTTTCAACGTAGATTTTGAGCAAATTTCTAGTATAGCATCCTTTTCGAACCATAAAAATGCCGAAACATTAAATATATGTTATTCTTTATTTTGATAATTTTCAGCTGACTGATGATATTCGCCGAGCAGTCACTATTGGCATTGATGAATGTTTTTTACCATTTCCAATACCGAACGAAGGGGATTGGGTTACTATACATGCAGAGCAAGGTCAAACTGTGCAACAATTTGAGCGAACAAAACGAACAGTGCCACATTCAAGGTAAAGCCGTAGTGGAAGAATATTCGGCCAGCAGTTTCTGTCTTTCTATCCCTCTCAGTTTTAGAACAATCTATATACAACCAATTGGGTCGTTCGATCATCCAAGGTAAGGCGACATGAAATTTTAAAGATTGGAATAGCTGATTAGCAGAACAAAAAATTTCGTTTTTCAGTGCTTATACGTGATTTTTCTCTTGATTTTAGCTTTCGAATAAGCGTAATTCTGAAGGAAACATACGAGTTCATTTTGGAAGAGCTTAGTTAACTGGCTATATAGTTTTCTAATAGATATTGGTAAAGACTATGACATTACTATTTCTAGGGCACCTTCATTGGAAATCATATGTGACTTTTCACGTCCTTTCTTTCCTGGATGTGAATTGGAAATTTTACCTCAAATAGATTTTACTGATTTCTCAAAACATCTTCAAAATGGAAAGCGTATCAATCAATATACAAAACAACCACAATATTTAACGAGTTTTATAATTGGTCATTTAAAAAAAATGAAACGACGAGAAAGAAAACATGATCGTCGAGAATTATTTTGTATTGGTGTTACTATGGCTGATATTTATCCAGGATCTGGCTGGAATTTTGTCTATGGTTTAGCATCAATCGACGATGGTATTGGCATTTATTCATTTTCTCGATTAGATCCTTCGTTTCCAGATACTGCAACAGCTGGACCTTGCACGGATCAAGAACGAATATTGATACTCAAACGAGCTATAAGTGTGTTTGTCCATGAAGTCATACATTTATTTGGCGTCGAACATTGTATCTATTATTTATGTTTGATGAACGGAGCAAACAGTGAAGAAGAAATGGATGGACAACCGTTGTATTTATGTCCAGTGTGTTTAAGAAAAATGTATTCAGCAATGGGAAAAGAGAAGAAACATTTCAATGTCATACAAATGTATACAAAAATTTCAGATCTTTGTGAAAGACTTCATTTTAAAGATGAACTGGCATGGTATGAAAATAGATTGAAGTTATTGAATAAAGTAGCGGACGATTAATTGTGGATTGATTTTTTTTTTGTATTTCAATACATGTCAATCATCTCTCATTCAATGTTTATTTATTGTCTTCAATTATCAGGTTCAATGTTATGATGATTTCTTAATCAAACGTTATAAACCAGATCAGACTTAATTTTGTTGAATACTAATGCTCATTTTCAAAGATATGATAGGTTGACAATTTTGAATAACTTTTTTTGAGTAAAATATAAAGGTTCGTTACTGTCATCACTCGAAACCGCGATGTTCAAGATGTCTATCTGTATACAAGTCATTAGTTCAGAAGAGCTTTTCGACTAATACTTCTTTTTTGTAATTTTCATAAATTTTTAAAATAATGTCAGCTCATATTATATCAAACGGGTGTGGATTGTGAGAAAGGAGAATAACAACACTCACATTCACACGTAACCGAGCAAGTTTTGCTGTTTTCTCTGAAAACTGCATTTTTTTTAAATAGATCATGAGAGAAATCATTCGACATGTTGGCAGAAAAGGAAGCACCTAATAAAAAGTTATGCCATTTATGAAAATCAGGACTATTCTTCCATAGATTATTCTGGTTTTCATAGTATCGACGGAAACTGATCATTTTTCAGCAAAGGAGGGTATAGACTTTAAACTTGCGATCTATGCTGAGACAAGAATTTAATACTAAAATAGATTGTATCGCAACGATTGTTAATCTTTAGTAAATCTGGTGTCTAAGATGGAATATGTCTAAGTGAAACGTGATGTATCTTTTTAATACTTAGATGTTAACCATATAAAAGTTTTACCGATGCTTTCGAATAATATTCTATTTATGTTCACAATTAGTTAACATCGT